GATTCAACCATATGTTTAGTATACACTAAGCTATAAGGAGTGATCAAGTAGAGCACAAATACAGAAGAAAGATAGTATTGTTGAAGAAAAGAGAGGGTGGGATTCAACGCAGTGAAAGAGATAGCTAGAAACAAACTTTTTAAAAAAGACTTATTTGTGCATAGAACTCGGTGTAAGAACTTGGGTGTAACACAGAGATGATAGAGGTGAGGTGATTCACCAGAGACAAAGTGGGGAGCAGAACAGGCAGATCTACCAAAGTGCTAAGGGGAACAGCAAGCGAGATAGGCGAGGTCTGCCAAGCCATGCAGGGATTGAACTCATGTTGCAGTGGCTGGTCATAGTTTTATTGTGCTGTCTTTAATTCTTGCCCCTCCAGAGAGGCCCCAATAGAAACAAAATTTAGATAGAAATGAAACAGACTTAGCTGGGGTGCAGATAGGTTGATGTATATATTGATTGTAGGATTTGGAAATTCCTGTTTTGTTACTTCTCCTTCCCTACCCCACCCTCTCCAAGAAAATAAGAATTAAATAAGGCCAGCAAATCCTGGGCAGGAATAGCGAGGCAATATTGAAGGTGTGAAGGAGAGATGAAGTTATTCAACAATTACCTACAAAAATGGAGAGTAAGTTGGAAATATTATTAGCGGCTCAGAAGACAGCCCAAAGTAGGGAAATATTTGGATTTATTATTGTTTCAAGTTTTAGCAAGAGAAGATAGATGAGAAAGAGAACAGCAAGACAGTTGATGCTCTGTGCAAAGGGTATCACTAATATATCATAGAATAATTAGGTAAAAAGGGGGTACAGGTAATCAGAAAATAGAAAGTCAGTGAATTGGAGGTCCAAATTGTGTTAAACACTCATTTGAGTCATAGAAGGAGTTACCAGGAAAAATAAAAGGTAATATTGGAGAAGGATATTTTAGGCATTGAATTGTTGAAAGAATACAGAGTTTAGGTAAACTCACAGCAGTGTGGTAACTGAGATGGAGTGGAGAAGAGCATTGATTTTTTTATAATTGAGAAAATAAATGTGATAAGCTGTTCTCTCTTAAATAAACATTAAAATTTTATTATTGCAAAAATATCGAAATATCTCTGTTAAAAATATTTATTTTTACAAGTGCTGGTTGCTTCTCAGTTTATAAGTCGTGCTGTGTTAGTGCATAACCATTTGTCCTGGGAACCTCCACCCCCTTTCCCTCCAAATTTGTTTGCACTAAAGGGATCTGATTGTCAGTGCACACAAAGACAAAAATATGCTTTTAATATGAAAGAACTTTAATAAAACTAGTGTATGTATAGTGAGAAGAGAAGGAAAAATTATCCAAATGAAGCACTCAAAGTTACCCATCTCCTGTCGGTAAATCCCCAGCCAAACAGGCTCAGACCAAAGTCTAAGGTGCCTCTGGCAGGGAACCATGGGATGGGGGCTCAAGGGACCTCGTAAATCTGGGACAGAAGAAACAAAATCAGAGTACAAAATAAAGATATGTGGCTGCCATTGTCAACCTCTACATGTTTCTCCTCTGTGTTTCTGCTTCCATGACTCATTCCTAGCAGTCTAGGGTACACGTCAGGTCCTAGGAATAAGAGTTCTTCCTTCTCCACTTGCCTTCCTAGAGCCCACCTGCCTTCTGTCTGATGTAGACATGTTGCTCAGCTCTGTCCCCTTTTTGTCAGTAGCAGGTCCAAGGTGACTACATGTAAGTGGAGGCAGAGAACATGGTATCTCCCTCCCCCGAAATACCTATAGTCTCTACTATCAGTTTATACTCCTTTGATCTGCTGTGTCAGTATTATTCTGGCAGCTGTATAGACCAAACTATGCAATCTAGGGGCCCTCAGGTTAAATTTGACCTAACGATAGATTTTCTTTGATGAGCATATTTGTTAGGAAAGAAATTCTTGACTTTAAATATCTATAGATGGGATAGTTCAATATGCTGCATTTCCTACAGTTCTGACAGTTTCCTACTATTATCCACTTCTCCCTAACACCATCATTTACTTTTGTCTTACTTTTTTCCCAATATCTCTCAGACCTTTCACTTTACATTTATAGTCCTTGCCTTACTCATAACTAGTCATAAGCTTCAGAGTTGGATGTTGGCCTCTATTTAGAAGCCTTTATAGGTGACTCTAATGACAGTCAATCAGTGACTGAAAAAGACAGATATTTCTTGACATGATTCTTGAGTCAGCAATTTAACATCTGCCTTTCTAGTTTCTATGCACAAAATTGTCATTAAAATAATAGATCCCCCAATGGGATTACAACTGAGATGGAAAAAGGCACAAACTGATGTAAAAATAAACTATTGTTAAAAAAAATAATAGATCCCACCTCTTGTAGTAGTATAAAGGATAAATAAGGTAATATATAAAATAGTCACTTGTGTCTGGCACATGGTGGTGTTGATAAAACTTACTCCCTTTCCATTGGGTATAAGATCTTCATTCCATTTTTCTACACAGATTGACAGGATATTCCCAGTCAACCAGTGACCTAAAAATTGTCACTGTAAGATTTCACAGAGATTTAATATTCAGGGGAATTTGATTTCAGGACCAGTACATTTTTTTTTCCTTTTCTTTTTTTTTAAAGATTTGTTTTATTTATTTATGATTAGAAGAACTGGGGTATATGCTAGTGGTACAGGAAGTGAGAGGGTTCACTGGAGATAGAGTGGGAAACTGAAGAGACGGATTTACTGAAATACACAGTTGAGCAGCAGTGAGACAGGAGAGGTCTTCTGTGCTAGGTAGGTCAGCCCCCTGCCTAGGAATTAAATTCAATCCCCAGTGACTGGTGATAGCTTGATAGAACTGGCCACCAGGAAGGCCACCCAAGTGCATTCGTAATTTGTTCTGTTGAGAACAATCTTCCCTTTATCTGTTTTGCTTTCTCACATGGTTAGAGATAATTTGCCACCAGCTTGACTGGGTTTCACCCTATTGGAAGGAGAAAGAAGTTAAGAGTAATTGGTTTCTTTTCAAGGGTTTGGTCTCAAAATTTTACATACATCATTGTTTAGAATTTCTCATGTGGCTTTATTTACCCGCAGGGAGTTTGGAGCACAATGTTTACAGGGTAGCTCATGTATGCTCTAAAACCTCAAGAGGTTTCCAAGTAGTATGAGGAAGAAGAGGAGAATAGTGGTGGAAGATTATTAGTGGTTTCTGCCACAGTTAACATTTGCTTGGTATATAAGTTAATCCCTTGATCATACATAGTAGCCTCTAAATACAAATTAATTACAACAAAAAATTTACTTGATTTTTTTTTTTTTAATTCCCTTTCAGGTATCTTTTAGGCTAGACCAGAAATTACTGGCTTTTTTCTAAGTCAAAATCTCTGCCTTAATGCTTACCTCACCTGTGTAAGCTTATATTTTATATTTGCTTATTTTAAAATGATAGAATAATTTTATAAATTTGGTCATTTTGACTGACATTCAGTATAATCTTTATTATCACTTACTATCTTGTCACTGAGATTTAGCACATTTCATGAAAAATGCAGCTGTGTGTATGTGCTCATGTAATTTTTACCTAGATTTTTATTTTTATAGTCATATGAAATAGTTATTATTAAGTCCAGTTTATTAATGAGTTAACAGATGTTTAAAATCTTCATTTGAAACTGAAAAACCAGTGAGTGGTAGAACCAATATTTGTGTCCAGGACCTTGTTTTTCTGTATTCCCTGATTTTACCCATGATGATACACCATGACATCTATCACTGAATTGTATCTTATGCAGTATTTATGTTAAGGTCGTGTTATTTTTTTAATTGAAGTAACATTGCAGATTTTACTTGTATTTTATATTTCTCTTTCTATTTTCTATCTTTCTCTCTTTCTTTAAGTGTCATTTCTCTTTGGGTTCTAAAATCCCACCTCACTTAGACACTCTTTTAATATAACTTAGATAAAATGTAACTTAGATGGATAGCTTTACCTTGATTTCTCCTTGGGACCAACCTAATGTAAGAACTCTGTCATTTTGCTGGTTATTGCAGATTATTCTCTTCAGTTACATATTTATATATTATTTCTGTTGTGATAAAGTAAATAACCTTTTTGTGCTCTACTCTTTATGAATAAAAAATATTTTCACTGGGCTATTACCAGGAAGATGCCTTTGAGAGAGCTCTGCTTTCAAGCTAGAGGGTTCTTACAAAGAGTTAAGGGGAACACCTCAAGCATTTTTACTGACAATGCTTGGTTTTGTTAATTCATTTTCATCCTGGGTATAATCTATTCATTGCTATCCTGCTAGAAATATCACACTCATCTGTGTTGGCTGTTCCTTTATTTTCTGGATATGTTGTTTTGCAGTACTAATCTATGTGTGCACAACTTTTCTATTTATTGAGTTTCTAGGTAAGATTATTAAAATTCCGTGTATTTAAAATGTTGATGGTTTTCTAAGTACATATGTAATTAAATGTAGTTCATTAGATTTAATTTCAGATTTTTAAATCCCCAAGTATTTTTTTCCTTTAAAGGAAAAAAAAATTTTAACTTAAGGTTGAAATACAGGATTAAGTTTCTAAAGCAGCAATCTTTATCACTATAAAAACTACTTCTGTAATTTATTTTCGATATGACCATTGCTATAGTAGATTCTTCACAAAGGAAATAATATCACTTGTCTTAGTTTTTTTTTTAAGATTTATTTATTTATGCATACAGAACTGGGGTACAGGCCAGAGGTGCAGAGCAGTGAGAAGATTCACCAGAGATTGAGTGGGAGCAGAGTAGACAGACTAACAAAGTACATTGTGGAGGGGAGCAACGGGCGAGACAGGAGAGGTCTGCTGTGCCATATGGACCACCTCCCAGGCAGGGAATTGAACTTGGACTGAAGCGGCTGTAGCTAGCTTGCAGTGTTGTGTCCTAACCTCTTGCACCACCAGGAAGGGCCCTGTGTTAGGTTTTTTTATGATTGGAGTAAAAATGTTCACTTTCCCCCTATTTTTTGATACAGGATATAGCGGATCCATTTTTTGCTTATTGTAAACAACATGCAGATAGGTTAGACAGAAAGTGGAAGAGAAAGAACTACTTGGCTCTACAGTCCTACTGTAAAATGTCTTTACAAGAGAGAGAGAAGCAACTATCACCTGAAGCACAGGTATGGGATTCATGCTAAAACTTATGTGTTTTCTTTCAAAGTTATGAATTTCAGACCCCATTTGTTTGCCAGTGACATGCAAACTATATATTATAAAATTTGGTTTAGATCTGTAGGAGATGGATTGTTGTTAAGGTAAATAAAGAGTATAGTTTGTGGTTTAATACATTGCTTCTCATCTAGTCAATGGAGCAGTCACTTACAAAGCATGTTTCCAAGTGCATTTTGAAATGTGGCTTAGACAAATTATTGATGTTGACCATGTGTTTTTTCAGTCTGTTTTAATGTTCATTTATGCAAAGGAGTTGGTCAGTTTGTCCTTCATTCAAAATAGACTTAAAAGTACTTTAAGGAAATTTATGGAGACTATAGCTATTATTAGCAAGAGAAACTGCAGTTTAGTCAAAATAGCTTTTCACAGTCCAATCATAAATTAGGGCAGTTGTTACTAGGAGTAGACTTAATTTATTGTAACCCAAGAATTATATAGTATACATTAAGAATGTATAGTTTAATTTACGTTCATGTAGTTGATTCTGGTCATCTTTTCTTTCTGTAAGTATCAAAGTAAAAAGCCCAAGGAGGATCTTCCACTATAATATCTTTAAAGATTTGTATACATTTGTTTTATAGGCAAGGATCAATGCCCGTCTTCAGCAATATCGTGCCAAAGCAGAACTAGCTCGATCCACCAGACCTCAGGCCTGGGTTCCAAGGGAAAAATTGCCCAGACCACTCACTAGTAGTGCTTCAGCCATTCGCAAACTGATGCGGAAAGCAGAACTAATGGGGATCAGTACAGACATCTTCCCAGTGGACAATTCAGATACTAGTTCTAGTGTGGATGGAAGGCGAAAGCATAAGCAACCAGCTCTTACTGCTGATTTTGTGAATTACTATTTTGGTCAGTATAGACACTGATAAATGTGCATTTTCATGTATGAGAATTTGCAAATGAAAGTATATGATCATACAGTCCATTTTAAAAATGTATGAGCTATGTTACATTTGTCAATTAAAAGCATCTTTATTTTCTTAGTAGATTGTGAATTATAAAATGCCAGCTTCATGTATTTATAATTATAAAGATATTTTAAACAATGTAGTTTTATCATGTGATTATGGCTAGCTTCTTATGGCTAGCTTCTTCCATTGTGTATTTTATGTATCATCTTTTACTTTCTACCTAAGTAAAACTGGATATTTAATTTAAATAGAGAGAAATATGCGCATGATTCAAATTCAGGAAAATATGGCTGAACAAAAGAATATAAAGGATAAGTTAGAAAATGAACAGGAAAAGCTTCATGTGGAATATAATAAGGTAAGTTGTACACAAAAACCCCAACAAATTTTAATTGATTTTTTTTTATTTTATAGCATTTCTAATAAATACTTCATTTAGAAATTTTCATGAATCTTTTTATGCCATTCCTTACAAATCCTATCTGTACTGTCTTCATTATTGCAACAATGAGGCACACGTTTTTTTATTTTTAATTTTTTAATTTAGATAATATTAGTTTACAGAACACTACTGGTTTCAGGTTCTTATCTCAGTCATGATATGTATGGCAGCATTCCTACAACCAAATGTTGAGTCATCATCCACCACCAACCAAATTCTTCCAATTTGATTTCCCACCACTACCATTTTGTTTTCAGTATCTACGGGTTGGCTTGCTTATTTTTGCTTTGTTTGTCTGCTTGCTTTATATTCCACAGATGAGTAAACTGTGGTTATTTATTATACTCCTCCTACTTATTTTATTTAGCATAACCACCTAAATGTCCACCTGTGTAGGAAAAAACAACATTTCATCTTTTTTTATGGCTGAACACACACACACACATAAACACTAAATCTTTATCCAGTTATGTGTTGTTGGGCACTTGTTTTGTTTTTATATTTTGGCTGTTATAGTGAGTGCTGCAGTGAGCATAGGGGCATTTTTTTAGTAAAATATTTTTATATTCTTTGGGAAAATACTTATAAGAAGAGTTGCAGGCTCATATGGAAGTTCTGTTTTTAGTTTTTTGAGGAATTCCCACACTGTTTTCTGTATAGGCTATACACCAGTTTTGCATTTCTATCAATAATGCAAGAGGGCTCCTTTTTCTACATAATTTTATCAGTTCCTTTTGTTTCCTAATTTTTTGAGACTAGACATTCTAAACAGTGTGATGAAATCACATTGTATTTTTGTTTTGCATTTCCTTAGTAATAAATGATGTAGACCATCTTTACATAACTATGTTGGCCATCTCTGTCTTTTTTGGTGAGATACCTATTTGAATCCTCTGTACATTTTTTTTTTTTTTTAAGATTTTTATTTATTCGTACAGAACTGGGGTACAGGCCAGAGATGCGGAGGGTGAGAGGATTCACCAGAGACAGAGTGGGGAGCAGAACAGGCAGATCGAGGAAGTACACTGCTGAGGGGAGCAGCGGGTAGGCCAGGAGAGGTCTGCCACACCATGTGGTCGCCTCCGGGGCAGGCGGGAATCGAACTCATGCGGAGGTGGCCTTAGCTTCTCAGTGCAGTGCTTTAACCCGCTGCGCCACCAGGGAGGGCCCCACTCTGTACATTTTTTAATTTGGGCTATATATTTTTTAATGTTGGATTATGTCAGTTATTAATGTATTCTGTATATTAATCGCTTGTCTGATAAGTCATTTGCAAGATTTCTTTTTTCCCCCAGTGGACTCTCATTTTGTTTTAACAGATATTTTCCTTTGTGGAGCTTTTTAATTTGATATACTTCTGTTTATATCCTCTTGTTTTTCTTGTTATGGGAGGTGAATTTATAATGATCACTAAGACTATCAAAGAGCTATCGTGTATATTTTTCTCTCTGTATTTTATGATTTCAAGACATATGAATATTCATGTGACTGTATATTAATTATTTTGCATATGAATGTCTAGTTTTCTTGCTTATTAAGGAGACCCCACCCCACTTATTGAAGAAACCTTATCCATTGTATGATCTTGTCTCCATCTTAATTAGTTGTCTGTCTATGTATAGTTTTATTTTGGGGATCTCAGTTCTATTCCATTGATGTAAATGTCTGTTTACTCTAGTACCATAGTGTTTTGATTGCTATAGCATCGTAGTATAATTTGAAGTTAGGGAGCATGATCTCCCCATTTTGTTCTTTTTTTCTCACGATTATTTTAGCTATTTGTTATTTTTTTATTTCATGTAAACTTAACAATTTTAATTCTATTTCAGTGAGGATTGCCATTGGTATCTTAATTGAATCTATATATTTCCCTATATATAAAGGCCATTTTGACAATACTGATCCTCCTGATCCATGAATATGTATTAATATCTTTCTATTACTTTGTGTCTTCTTCAAGTTCTTTCATCAATGCCATATAATTCAGTGTATAGGGCCTTTACTTCCTTACATTTATTCCTGGGTATTAATTTCATATGATAAAAAGGTTATTGTTTTCATAATTTATTCTTCTACTAGTTTGTTGTTTTCGTATAGAAATGCAACAGATTTTCATATATTGATTTTGTAGTCTCAAACTTACTGTATTTGTTTATTATTGCTATCCAGCTTTTTCATGGCATCAGCCATAGTTACCCATTCCCTTATGAGTAAATGCCTATCCTAACAGGATTTGCCCAAAGTGGGCTTGCTGAGGCCCAAAAGTTTGCCACAAATCTAAGATGTAGGAAAGGAGCAGAAAGGCTTAGGGGGTGAAAGGAGCAAAATCAGAGTAGAAATCAAGGTAACGGCTGCTGTTATTGGCCGCCTCCCCTTCCACATGTCATCCACGTGTCTTCCAAGATTCTGTACTTGTCTTGACTCCATATATCTCCTTCCATGTTCTCCTAGTCCCTGTGCAAGTCCAAAAGCAAGTGACCTTCGCATGTCTGTCCATGTGCCTCCTGAGTTTTCCTCCAGGTCTTCAGTTTCTTTTGTTAGTGTGCTTTACTCTTCACTAGATGGGGTGGGAAAGCTGGAACCACCCCTTTTTTATGGAGATTCCATTGTTACAACATGGAGTATAAATATAGTTATCTTTGACACTATTGATGATTTACTTAAATTTTCATATATTTTATTGCATATTTTAATGGTTTCCTAATTTGAATTATTTACGTTGTAGCTCTGTGAATCTTTAGAAGAACTGCAAAACCTGAATGGAAAACTTCGAAGTGAGGGCCAAGGAATATGGGCCTTACTGGGCAGAATTACAGGGCAGGTTAGTTTCCTTCCAATTGCTATCTCCTCTTCTTGACCTCTTTATGATTTTCAAAGACCAGATCTCTAATACAGGGTAATTCCGCTGACTGAACAATTCAGTTTTATTAGTGACAGCTAATTCTCTGGAATAATGATTTCTTCCTGAAGTATATTTTAGAGCTTTGGGAGCTGCCTACTGACATCCTCTGGCGTAATTTGTTTGTTTTATGTAAAGTAAAACAGTTCTTTGCAAAATTTTAATTTGCTCTGATTACTGTCATTTGTGAGAAAGCTAAGATTTGAATCATGCGTTACTTGTAACACATTTTTCTTTCTTCTAGTTGAGCAGTTTTAGATTCCTGCCACAGTCTTTTTCTTAAGCTTTAATTAATTTCCTGTCTCTTTTTATTTTTTGGTTATAAAAATTTAAGGACAATTAAAAGCGGTTTATTTTCAAGTCTGATTTCAAGCTGTGTTAGAGATGGTTTTTGAAACTTATGTTAAAATGTAATTTTTTCTTTCAGTAACTATTATCATAGTTCTAGGAAAAGGTTTGAATGTTTATTCCTATATTCCTGAATATTTTCAGTTGTTAAAGATTTTGGTGTTTAAAAGAAGTGTCATTGTCAAATATTTATTTGAATGCTTATTTTTATAATGTGTATATAGTTCAAAACTTAAGAATTCATTCAGATAATTTCAGTTTTTTTTTAAGAATGAGACTTACCTTTTATTATGAAAGTAGTTTTATTTTTGAATAAGACTTTTCAAAGAATACTTACTTTCACCTTAGTATTTTCAGAGGTTTACATAGAGTCAACTTTACAGTTTGTGTAAATATATTATTTAAAGAAGTAATACATACTGATATGTATTGTTCCATGCTAGTTTCTTTTGTGAACAGGGTATAGGTGTCTTATGTTTCAATGAATAACATACATAATTTAAAAGGTGAGGATAAGTAGTTGCTTGTGGAGAATTGACTTTTGTCCTTATTGTTAGGGTATTGATGGATTTTTGAAAGATAATGTTTTATATTCTATATTTAGAAAAGTTGCTGAATGTAAACCTATTATTAGTTTATTTGCCAAGCTAGTATTTGGATTGGTTTGCAAGCTTGTCTCATAAGAATCTCCTGTTTAGTATAAAACGCTATCTGCCATGGCAGGACATTTTATTCATTAAATTAATTTTAACAGAAGTTCACGAATTTCCTTGTGCAAATTTAAGTACATAGCTGAAGAATAATTCATTTGTACTGCTTGTGTGACACCTTTTTTGCTGTTGGTTGAACTGATGCCAGCCCACTGCGCCATTGAGAAATGACTATGATAGATGGCGGATGTCTGAGAAACCAGCATACTAGAAATTAGTAAAAACCCAAAGAGAATCTCATTCACTTTGTGGAGACATTGGTACAATAAGATAATTTTTCTAATTAACCTATGGAATGTCAGTATAGCTACATGTTGAAGAAAACAAATGGCCTTAATATTCTTTTTTGTTAAGAGTACTCTGATTTTGTTTCTTTAAGCTTCTTATGAGTTTATCCTTGTTCTTCCCTTTTTAAAGCTAAAATATGAGGTTAATTTTCATATTTTAGTTTCCATTGTAAATTGAATAAAATATGTAAATACAGATTTGTGATGGAAGTTTATGTGACACAAAACTAATTTTAATCCTTTTTGCCAATGTAATAGCTAGTAAAGCAGAGATTTTTCCCCTCACATCCTAGTATATTTATTCAGTTTGAGTGTCAAATACAGGAAAATGTTGCTGTATATTTCTTATTTAATACCATATAAACTACATTTGTTCAAACCAATAGAAGTTGAACGTACCAGCAATTTTACGAGCGCCCAAGGAGAGAAAACCAAGTAAAAAAGAAGGAGGCACACAAAAGACATCTATTCTTCCTACAGTGCTTTATAGGCAAGTAAAGAATTTATGACGGATTAATATTGTATATTTTTGAATTAATGTTTTTTAATAGCAAGATGCTTCAAGTATTTGAGAAAATAATGTCTATACCAGACGTTCATATTTTATTTAAATATGTGTTTCCCATGTATTACATGTACAGTCTGACTCTTAGTTCCTTTAGAGAGTTAATAGTTAATAAAGATAAGATTTGGATTTGAGACTTTCTACATTTTTTCCCCCCTCTATGTTTAGTTGTAATAATTTTATTTCCAGATGTGTTTTTTGTTCTTTACTTTTTTATTTAGTATTGTACTGTGTTCACTGTTACAATAATTTTACATAGTCAGGACTCCTTTTCATGCTTATATTGGTTAGGATCTTTTTCTGTTGTAGCATTATATTGAGAAAAGATTAGAAGAAGCTATATATAATGACTATATTCCAATTTAAATACATAAATATTTTCCTACCTTATCCTTTCTTAGAAATAGCAACAGTAGTTACAGTGTCAACCACTGAAATTTCCATTCTTTGTTCAAGTCTCCTTCCAAATCACTTCCTTGAAATGTGGGAAATGCCATTTTGTGTCCTACTATATAGTGTGAAGACTAGCACATTCTCAGCCCATCTCTTCCAAAGTTGTCTCATTTGTAACCATCAGACATATTATGTTTTGATTACAGTTCATCATATTTCAGAATATATTTTAAGTGATTTTCCTTTTTTACTCTGTAACAAACTTTGAAAGCAATTACTAGTTTGTGTGTGGATGTACTTGTGTCTGTGTGTGTGTGTGTGTTTCTAGGAGTATTAAAAAATATACAAATATTGTTTCTATACATGGATGATTCATACAGGATTTTGACAGTTTTTTACATTCCCAATATAAATATATTCTACATTTCCATGTCATGGTGCTTGTGTTCTCAGGAATTGCCTTTTGTTGTTGTTTTTTTTTTTCCACAAGAAATTAAATTCCTTAAAAACAAATAAAAATCCAAAATAATAGTAACAATAAAACTCCTACTCTCTGCAATAAGTATCAAATTAGTATATTTTTAAGGCTCAAATTTGATTTTGAAAAGAGAACTATTTGTTTATGCAGTTTATTTTATACATTGTAGGCTCTTTGAAAGCTTTGTGATTATCAAGACAATACACATAATTTTGTTAAAAGTAACTAGTTACAGAAAATTGAAAAATTTATTTGTTAGGTTTCTAGAGAAAAAAATGAACAACTGTTAAATGGACTTTTAACATAAAGATGATATTGAAAGTAAATAGCTTATATATACATTTATCTGAAAGGCTTGACTCTAAATTTATGCTAGATGAAGACTTTGCATACATTGTGAAATGTATTTAAGATTAATAGTTATTGAAATTATAGAAAGATTTGTTAGAAAAAATTATTTTGACAAAAGAAGTGTTAACCAAGGGGAAAATTAGAATTTAAAAATATGCTATAAATTAACTATTATAATTACATTATAATCCTTTATTTGTTGTTTTTGTTCAAAGTTGTGGAATTTGTAAGAAGAGCCATGATCAGCATCTCCTTTTATTGTGTGATACCTGTAAACTCCATTACCATCTTGGATGTCTGGACCCTCCTCTAACCAGAATGCCAAGAAAGACCAAAAATAGCTATTGGTAAGGAATTTAGATGTTAGAGCATGTTTGTTGTTAGTTTCAGCAGTAAGATAAAGGGCTATATAATACTGAGAAACATTTGTAATTGATTTTTTAATAAGCATTTTTCTAGATTCATTGAGCTATAATTGACAATGACAAATTTATATATTTAAGGTGTTTAACTTGATGGTATGATAAATATATGCATTGTGAAATAATTACACAAACAACACAATCATTATCTCACATAGTTCCCATTTTCCTTTTTTATGGTGAGATGCTTAATACACAAATATTTGTTACAATATTACGTGACTAAAACGATCTTTATTTAGAAATGAATTTTAAGTTAATTGAAGTTATTTTAGTATCCTGCCAGTAGTTTTTAAACATGAATTTTTTTCTAGTATGTTTTGTTTTATTATAAGAACTTTTAAAATGGTTTATTATTATTTTAAAATTTATCAAAGTGTCAAACTTTGATTTGTAATTTAACATTTTATTTTTAAATGTCAGTAAAGGCTTTACTTCTGGTATGCTAATTATATCTGAGTTCAGCGTTCTTCACAATTCTAGATATGTTTACATCTGTGAATTAGTTTTTCTTTAGCTTAGGCCTGTTGAGACACTATAGATATTTGCTAAAAAACTTAGGATGTCTATGATGATTTTTGTTGATTTTAGTCCAAGTGAGGGAAGATAGATATTCATATTTTATTAAGTGTTTCTTATAGGATGAGTATAGGACATGGAAAACTTTGATATGCATCTGAATATTCTTTTTATATTTTTATATACTTTTTCTATAATTACCTTTCTAATTTTAGAAAACAGTGAACTCTAGATTTTTAGATTGTCATGAAAGAATATCTATTTATTCAACATATTGAATATGTTAATCATGTTTTCTGACTTTGTTTTATTGCCTAAAACCACTTTAGTTCATTTTATTGAGATTATATATCCACCCTTTTAATAGCACTGTGTTTTCATAGTGTTTAATCAATTTGTCTTAAGAAAGTCAAACTGGTACACTCCTTTCAATTTTTTTTGTTGTTGTTATTTATGTGCTTTCAAAACCAAATTCTAAGAAGAAAATGTTATAGCATATTAGAATGCCAGCAGTGTTAATAAGCATCATAGGTGGGTTTCTAAGTTGGAAGTCAGTTTGGTAGTTTCCAGGACCTGTATACTTTATGTTCTCTCCTTAAGTGAGTTTATGAACTTTTCAAATACTGCTTTGTCTGCTGATTTCCAGTAAGAGTTTCTTGAAGAACTTCAGATGAAAATGCCTATCCTAGAATTTCTTAGTGAAAGCTCTCCCAAAGGAGCTGAACCTACTCAAGATCCTATACATTGGTGGTAATATTTTTAAGAAAAAGTAGAATAATAGTGTAGCATAGTGAAGGTTTTACTATCTTTTTAGTGACCAAATTTACTTTGGCCTCTAATATTAACTTAGTTTGTCTGTGTATATATATATATATATATATATATATATATATATATATATGTGTGTGTATATATATAGGCAGTATATTTCTAGTTTCCTTCTGTTCAGTTGCTCTATTCTTTTTTTTTTTATTCATACCGAACTGGGGTACAGGCCAGAGATGTGGAGGGTGAGAGGATTCACCAGAGACAGAGTGGGGAGCAGAACAGGCAGATCTCGAAGTACACTGCTGAGGGGAGCAGCGGGAGGTCTGCCTCGCCTTGTGGATCTCCTCCGGGGCAGGCAGGGATTGAACTCATGCGGAATTGGCTTAAGCTTCTTAGTGCAGTGCGTTAACTCGCTGTGCCACCAGGGAGGGCCCATAGTTGCTTTATTCTTTATATCTTTTTTGCCAGCACCGCACTGTTTAGATTACTATAGCTTCTTACATTAGGTTTTATAATCAGTAGGTACTCGTCCTTCAGTTTTGTTATTCTTTTTCAAAATTGTTTTGACTGTATAAGATCTCTTAGGTATTTTAGGATGGATTTTTCTTCTTTTGTAAAGAGTCATTGGCTTTTGGGTCTCCCTGGTGGCTGGGGGTTAAGTCTCCGCATTATTGAGTTATCTCCAGCCACTGCTGCCTGAGTTTGATCCCGACCATGGAGGAGGTGACCTGCATGGTTTGGCAAACCTCTTCTGTCTCAGTCACTGTTCCCCGCAGAAGTCCATGTTAGTAGATCTGCCTGTTCTGCTCCCCAATCTGTCTCTGGTGAGTCCTCTCATCCCCTCAACCTCTGGCCAACACCCACTTCTTTTATGTATAAATAAATAAAAATCTTAGGCCCCTCCCTGGTGGTGCAAGGGGTTAAGACACAGCACTATGAAGCTCCCCTCAGCCAATGCAGCACAAGTGTAGTCCCCAGCCACAGAGGTGGCCCACATGGCAGAGCAGACCTCTCAATGTTCCCTTCAGCAGTATGTTTCAGTCAATCTGCCTGTTCTGCTCCTTGCTTCGTCTCAAGTGAATCCTCTCATCCCCCACATGTTTGGCCTGCATCCCAGCTCTTGTATGCATAAATAAATAAATCTTTTAAAAATTTTTGAGTTGTCATTGGCTTTTACTAAGGATATATTGAATCTGTAGACCACAGTTGGATATTATTGCCAATTTTATGGTATTAAATCATCCATTCCAGAACATGGGATGTATTTGTATTTATTGATGTCTTTAATAATTTTCATAGTTTAATTTTATAAGTCCTTTACAAATGACTTGGTTAACACCTAAATATTTTATGCTTACTGATGCCATTTTAAGTGGAATTTCTTATATTGGTTCATTTAAATATATGCAGAATTATTGTATATGTTTTTGTGACACGGAGATACATGGAATTCATACATCATATCTGTTTTCTTTCTGTGGGAATATGTCTTTCTATGTCTTTTTGTACCCTATAGTTATATACATCTCTGTATATTTTTATATATTCACATATGCCAGGATATTGTATTTATACAAGAAACCACAACTAATGCTGGAAGACAAAAAAATGTAAATGCCTGAACTTGAATTTTTCTCTTCATGTAGGCAGTGTTCAGAATGTGACCAGGCAGGGAGTAGTGACATGGAAGCAGACATGGCTATGGAAACCTTACCAGATGGGACCAAACGATCAAGGAGGCAGATTAAGGAGCCAGTGAAATTTGTTCCACAGGATATGCCACCAGAACCTAAGAAGATTCCAATAAGAAACACGGTAATTTATTGTTTACTTACTACAATCATCACAAAAATTCCAAGACTGAAATTTAATAAGTGGGGAACGTTAAAAGGGTGTATATTATACTAAGGAGCCAAAGAAAGGAAACAAGTGTATTGCTATTGGTTATTTAGAGGGTTTATTATTTTACATTATGAAATATACCATACAATTTGCAGTTTATGTATTCAAGTTAAAAGCATACGTAAATAATGGACACTCGTAACCACCAACCTGTCTCACCAATAGACATAGCCAAAACTTTGGAAGTTCTCTGTGAATTGCTCAGTAATCACATTCTCATTTATCAACCTTCCTCAACTTTGTATTTTTCATTCTTTTTTGTTTTTTAACTGAACTCTAAATATTAGATATTCATCAGTAATACACAGTTTTGTAGTTTTTGAATTTTGTATGAGTACAATCAGACTTTTTCCTTCTGTTATTTGACACTTTGACAAACATAATATTGATCTCGTTCATATGTGCTAATCTCTGTAGGTATAATTCAGCTGTGTGTAGTTTTAATAAAGAATATGTTGTTATTGGGTCCACCCTGGTGGCAGGCACAATGGTTAAAGAGACAGTGCCTTCAAGCTATCACTAGCCACTTCCACTCAAGTTCAGTCCCTGGCCAGGGACCTAAAACACACGGAGCAGCAGACCCCTCCTTTCTCATCCGCTGCTCCCCTTGGCAGTGTATTTCAGAACATCTTTCTGTTCTGCTCCCCACTTTGTCTTTGGTGAATCTTCCCACCCCCAACACCAGTTCTTATGTGCATAAATACATAAATCTTAAAAAAAACTTTTTTATTTATTATTTTTCCTGTAAGTCAGCAGTGATGTTATTTCTGTCTTTTCTTTTACGAACCGTTGTTTTAAATATTCTTGTAAATGCCTCCGGCAGCTTGGTAAGAAGTTAAGGGATATATCAAGTTAAGGATTTTTTTTTTTTAGTTATAGAATACATGAATTGTAAGTTTTGCTAGGTAATTCTGAAGTTTTTCGAACCTATTTTCACTCAGTAGCAAGGAATCATTTACTGATGCTCCTAAACTTGCTTTGTTAAATATTAAATGTTTTTACAATTGAGATGAAAAAAAAATGTGCAAAATGATGTAAAAATAAACTTTTTAATAAAAAAAAAAAAAAAGTGGCTCTGTCAACCAGTGCTGCTCCAGGAAGCTGCTACCTTAAAACAATTAAGTTTATCTGCATATTGCATGGTGAGATTTTTAAATTTGGGTGCAAGAGTGATGCTTTAAATTGCTTTTTTTTTTTAAATAAATACAACATTTTCATTTAAAAAAAAATATTAAATGTTTTTCCAGTACCTCTATCATTTATTTTACATTTCCCTCAATAATAATCACTTTGAGCATCTCTATATTCTTGTACACTTGTAATTCCTCTTCTAAGAATTGTATGTGCAAGAATTTTGCCAATTTTTCAATCAGTTTGTTAGCCTTTTTCTCATTGAACATTCTTTGAGGTCTTCTACAGAACATTTATATGCCCAACACAACTATGTACCCATGTTATTTAAAGGAACTGTCTATTTTTTCCCCTAAATTGCTTATGTGCTTTTGTAGCTACATTATGTGCTTTTGTAGCTACATTATAAGTAATCTTTTAACTTTTCTAAATTTTGTTTGTTCTAAATTTTCTAAATTACCACATGCCTGGGAACTCTACCAACTTAAAGCCATTTTAACTAAAGGTATGGTATATTTGTCTTTGACTAAATGAGCAGTATGAATGTCTGCTTAAAACCCGTGGGGCTGGCTTATAAATATTTAGGGGAACCACCTTTTTGCTTTCTTACCTTGGGACAGGCAAGCATTCATCAAAAATCCTCTCTCTGAAGCAGACACAGGGATAATTTTAGAGTTAGTTGCCATCTTTTGTTTTATTTATTTATTTATTTTTAAGAACACTTTTTTCAAAACTTACTTTAATCTGTAGTAACCATCTATGCTGTAACCATTTAATAGACATTATTTAAAAGAAGTTATCTATGTTATTTCATTCAGTTTGATGAGGCAAACCTGGAAATTGCTGTCTTAGGTGACTGAAATAGTTAATTTGAGGTACTTTAGTCTAATTGAACTAGTTCTAGCTGTAACTTAATTGTATTTTAAAATATTTCTTTTAGTTTTCACAAATATATTTGTTTACAAATGAACTAGAAAGAATTTTCCTGTTCTAAATAAGCTTTGTTTTGTTTTGTTTTGTTTTGTTTTGTTTTGTTTTGTTTTGTTTTCTGTAGTATTTATGCCAGTATCTACAGCCATTCCAATATCTTTGAGAAAAGCTGGTATTACTCCTATGTCTGTGTCTATAAATATTATCCTCTGGTGAATTATTTTTTTCTATTTTTGTTATTATTTAAGGCAATCCTAAGGAAGGTATTATTACCTTTTAACTTTAGAGTCATCATATGGAGAAGAATTTTGCATACATTTATGTCCCCTAGTTCAGTAATACTTGAGATAAAAGAGAATCCTTTAGTAATTTCAAGGATTCTTCCATTTTATTCTAATTTACCTGTCTGCTTTTGCTAGATAGAGGTATTAAGAAGCTTTTAACTTTTCTAATAAAACCCAATTCCTTTCATCTTGTTCTTGGTCTCTGGTTTTCTTTTGTAAAAGTTTTAGTCTTCTTGTATTCATTGGTCAGTAATTTTAGTATGGATGGCTATTTTCTCACTTTGGAGAATTCATATTCATATCAAAGTTTTGAGAAATAACACTGTTTAGAAAAATGGTCACTTTTGCTTGTTTTTCCTTTTCCTGGCTCATTTTATTAAAGAGCAGGTTTTTTCAGGTCACATTTTTATTTTTAATACAGAGTACTTGTTTTGGAAACGGTATTCTGGAAACCATAGGTTATCTGCATAAAAATCACCATGGGTGTTTGTTAAAAATAAAGATTTTGGGCCCATCCTAGACATAAATTAGAATTACTAGGTTGTACTAAGCAAATGTTTTAGGTGTTAAGAGGACTAAATCTTGAAAATAACTAGAAAACATTTATGATATTACTCTTTTTGTTTTCTTCCTTCTCTTATATTTCCCTCCATCAGCCCATGCAGCAATTTAGAAAAGCTTTGTGTATATGTTCTAGTGGTCAGATACTTATGTGAGAAATCTAAAAATGAAAGATGTAGGGATCAGTCATTTTAGTCATTACCTTATAATTTAGACTATGTTTCTATAGTTATCTTAATTTTTATAATTTGTTTTTTGTGTTAGAGTTGAACTAACATTTTAAATGATTAGATGATATGATGAAAGATGAAGCTCTCTAGTCTCTTTTCTTAGTACACAATTAGTGATTGGGATCCAGGCATTTATCTTGTAAATAATTTATGTAACTAAGTACCTTTCACAGTAAATAGCTGAATTGTAGCTCCCTTTTGTTGTTCCTACTATTCTGCTCCTTAAGTTTTTTTTTTTTTTTTAAGATTTATTTATTCTTGCTGGTGTAAGAGGTTATCTAATTGTGGTTTAATTTACATTTGCTTGATTACAAGTGATGTTGAACATTTTTTCTTATATCTGTTGGCCACTTGGAGAAGTGTCTTTTTAGCTTTTTGCCCACTTTCTTGACTGGATTGTTTACTTTTTTTTAGATTTATCTTTACTTATTTATTCATACAAAAACTGCGGTGTAGGCCAGGAGTGTGAGGGTGAGAAGACTCACAACAGAGTAGGGAGTAGAAAAGCTGGATCTACTGAAATAATACTGCTGAGGGGAGCAGCCTGTACCACCAGGGAAGCCACTGTTTATTTGTTTTTGTTGAGTCTCTTCAGCTCTTTGTAGATATTTATGATCAGTCCCTTATCAGTAGTATTGTGTACAAATATGTTTTCCCAGTCAGTAGGGTGTCTCTGTTTTGGTTAATGTCTCTTTAGCTGTACAGAAGCTTTTTAGTTTGATATAGTCCCAGCTGTTCATCTTTTTCCTTCACTTTCTTTGCTGTGGGGGGATGTATCTTTAAAGTAATTACTGAGATGTGCTTCATGTTGTTTTTTAACTCTATTTTCTTCGATATATTTTATAGTTTTGGGTCTTATGTTTATCTCATTTTCTCCATTTTGAGTTGATCTTTATTGTTTATGCATAGAAGAACTAGGGTATAGACCAGAGGTACTGGTGGTGAAATAATTCACCAGCGAGAGTTGGGGAACAGGACAGGTGAATCTCCTGAAATACACTGCTAAAGGGAGCAGCTGGCGAGACAGGAGAGGTCTGCTGTGCTATATATGGGTTTGTTTGCTCCCTGGCTGGGGATTGAATGCCAGCAGCAGGGTTGAGAGCACTGAGATTTAACACCTGTGCCTCCAGGGAAACCCTCCCTCTACTTGTTATTTCAGAACATATATTTTGGGATATGTCACCCTTAAGTTCCTTATAATAAATCTATTGCTTTTGTTTTTTATTTTTCCTGTTATTATTGATTATAGTTTATTTCATAGTAGCCATATTATTCTATCAAAAGTTTGAAAAAACTTTTATCCTCTAAACATAATTATGGCACACTCAGCTTCTGTTTCTCAAGTCAAAATAGTCTATTATTCAGTTAAACAGTTAAAGAGATCATTAACTTTAATGATGAAAGTTAGGGTCTTTAACTCTATCCATTTTTGTTAAATGTGTTACGTTCCCTTAGGTTACAGTAATACAACTTTTAGAAAAATTAGTTTTAGATTCTTTCATGCTAATAAAAATGATTATCTTGTTTTAATAACCCATTTGGAGGAATATGTGAGTTGATATTTTTTAACAATTTTATTTTAAAAAATTCAGCCTCTACAGTATAGCCCTTTTATCTCTTTTATATAGTCCTTTATCTCATTTGAAGGACTGTTTATGGAGTTGTGCTCAAACACAATGTAAAATAGAGCTCAGATAGATTTGAATTCCCATTTTTGTTGACTAGTTTTCTTATCCCTGCTATTACTTTCTCACTTTTTCCATTATATATCTTTATG